TGTGTCGTTCGACAATAAATAGTAAATAATTCGACATGGTAAATATATCATCCGAATATACACATGATTTCAATGTCCATCTATTTTGAAGATAAAATCGTCACCAACGTTGACCAGTGTGGAAGATTTGAATCATTCTATCGATCAAATCCTCGTTACCTGGTTTGCTGAAAACATACAGTGGGGTCAATATACACGTGGCAACATAGATCACTTTTTGTAGGGACAATTTGAATCTAAAATATCTACCAATACTGACGAAAAAAGACTTATTAGCGTTTCATTTCACTGTCCCGAAATGTTCGGTTTCGTGAACTATCCATTATAGTCTAGATCATGACAAGGCTCAAGTCTTTGAAAAGCTATATATTGAAGATTTAGATGATTCCCTTTGTAAAGTCCTCCATAATTAACATCGACCCACCCGGTATATCAAGTTAGGCATGCTCCCTCTGTCTAATGACTTCAGGGGCCAACTAACGATGATTTAGTTTTCCTATTAGGTACCTCGGACTTTGTGTCAGAATAAATATCTCGGGTCAGTAGGCAGGGATGGTTCTGTTTGACAAGTTTTATGAGGTCATAAAAAAAACATGGCATGCCAGAAATAATTGACCAACACTTGATGAGACTACGTCACAGTATACTACATAAAATACTGTCTCTTTGCTATATGATATTATAAATAATGCTGGAATGTCGACCAGGATGGACGAGCTATAATACGTGTATTATGTTGAAAATACCCAAAATGTTCATATGTTAGGTCGAAAATGATGAAAACACGGAATTACACTTTCTCATTATTTAGGTACAAATTCCTCGTAATGTTAAAGCGGAGGAGTCGTCACCTGCGCCCGCGTCAGATGGCCATAGCCTGTCATTGTTTACAAACAAGCGTCTACCCATGAGCTTTTGCATTTTTAGCGTGTGTTGTTATCGTCGTTTGGGACTCAATTCCCGCGCGTGCGCAGGTGACGACCCTCTCACTTTAACCTCAGTCTGAGTTTTAACGTTATTGTATACTGTATTTCTATTACATTTATTTATTACTTTTTCGTGTATTTCATAGATATGTTACCTTGCTTTCGACAAAAGCTACAAAAGCACATATCGCCCATCTGTCCCAAATCAATTACCCCCCCCCCCCGACCCAACTCAACCAACACACACGCGGCTTGGATTAATTTTACTGTTTACCCAAAGGAATCAATATCATTGAATAAAACAGTATTATGCATCTGGCGCTAACAATTATGATTGATTTATTCATTCCATGTATTTAATTATGATTACAATATAATACACAGTAGAATTAAGATATGATGAGCGTTATACTAGTTACAACCAAGTATAAAACATTATATATGTAATGACCTGCCAGATACTGGAGACGTGGGGGTGTGTATGGAATTCGATCTCTTTGTGTAAATAACAGATCCCATTCTAATCAACCTGCAAGGTTAGAAATGCAATAAGTCGCCATTCTTACTTGCTTAATAAAGTTTTGTACTGACCTTCTTTTAGTGGGGTAGTATTCTTATGTGTGTACTAGGACAAACATAACCAAACTCAAATTGGACAGTGTTTTTCGAATATGATATATTAACATAATCTAGATGACGTAGTTTATGAACTTCCAAAAGTTCAACATTGTGCACCAAAGCGATTAATGTATGTCGTTATTAAACTCTATTGGTTCTTAGAGTTCTTAGAGTTAGTTATAAATTGACATTGGTCGAGATTATAGCTGTACTACTTGTTTTTTGAACCATAAACACTCATATTTGTCGTTTCGCCTGACTATACGCCGCCTATTCATTGGCAATGGCGGCAAATATTCCTATGAGAATACAAGTGACGTGGTAATGACTGTTCTCTTTGTATGGTTATCATTAACAGTAAACTCAAACCAGATTACTACACCCGGGTTGAATAATGCCTCATTTTCACCAAACATTCACCAGTTGTCCATAACACTACCCATACATTCCTCGTTCAAAAAAAAGTATGAAGTGCTATGTTTAAATTGTAACAATTCTCTCCTTTCATCTTCTGCCACTCAGAAACGCAGTACAACTGCGGTGACCTCATTGTCTAAAACAACTGATTGTATTACTATAGTTTACTATAAAAATCAAAAGGCAAATAAAATCATTCATCAGAGGATTTTTCGAAGTTCTGATATATTGATGACAGACACAACGCATGAATGTTGGAGCAGCGAAGGAATTTTAAAAAGGGACATACGAGACAGTGTAACAATTCAATAATTGCTAAGCGTCATGTGCAATACACATAATCACAAAGGTCACGAAGAGTAATTGGTGACTAGAATACAGTATGACCCAAATGGTCTATTCATACACTCCTTAAACAAACTATTGGTCATTTTTCAAATAACGACGTGCCCCGATCAGGTAAATAAAGCGTAACTGAATTGCGGAGAATAAACTATAGTTATGTACCGGTGACCTATCCTCGTTCCGGGGAGTCCAGTATTTGTTGTGGCAACGAAGTGGAACTAGAATTACAACACAACTAACATGGACAAGCGTCATGGTTGGGGTGTTATACACATACTTCGGATTCCATCGGCGTTATTCGGATACCCTTTCGTACTGATTAATGCATCCCCGCGATGGCATTATATATTGGTTAATTATTTATTCGCGTTTCTAATTCTAGACTAGATGTTAACACGCTTGATTGCCTGACCACCTATTGCTTTATGCAGTGAATTCGACTGCATGTGTTAAAATGTATATATTATTTAATATGCGCGCATAATCTTCACGCTATATTAATATGTATTCGGTTACAGTTTTAAAACATTGTACCAGTGTGTTATAGTATGATATAGCACCACACATAGTAGAATGGTATGAATATTGCTTTATTACAACTTTAAAAATAATTTAACAAATCTATTTTGGTTTCTACGCATGTAGCAGGAAATAAAACTTACGGATTCAGATTGAGTTTAAGCATACATTTGTTGTAATATTTTATCCTCAGAAAAAATACGGATAAGATTTGTAAAACATAAATTGATCAATGCCGTGAGTATTTTTCTTTTGCTTTCGTGACGGACGGGAAGGCCGTATACGTGTAAGTAAGTAATAATAAAAACTATACAGACCCACGATCAAATTAAATAACAATGTCGTAAAATCGTCCTCCTCCAAGTTACATTGCAATGATGATAAAGTTACAAATGATGACAATTATAATAAATCAGCATAAACATAACAAAGTAAATTATTCATAGGGAATACAATTAGATTCAATAACATCACGTCAACTGATAAATACATAAAACTGGCATTGCGTGGACGTAACCATTGAATAACCATAGTTCAAAAATAGACAGGTCAACACTGTGACCTTTTGACATATGTCCGATAGCATAATATGGAAAAAATACAATGTTATTACGACTCGGGTGGTCATTGATAACTTGAATTTGACAGAACTTACATTGATCCATGCCGTTCAATGAATATCCAATGGTGACTACTAGTATACTTATTACACGTATGAATTCTATAAAATCTATAAAATAAGCTTTATCGATAGAATAGGCTTTATGAACCTACAGACTTATGAAGACAGACAATTACTTGCAATAAACTTGTTGACCAACGAACGAATATATTGTATCGGCGTGTGCACAAAAGAGAAGACACTTCTAGTATTGTACCACTGTAGTAGGGCAGCATGTCTGCTAAGAATACCAAGCATCTCATCTTATCATACGGTCGATATCGTAGTAGTTGGTTACGATTTGTCTTGGAAATAAAACTGCAGAACAATTGTAAAAAAATCAGTGGTGAAAATAACCTAGAGTTCTAGTTTTCAAATGGCAATATACCATAAAAGAATGTGCATTGTTGAAAGTTCCCCGACCTTAGACAGATGGGCCATGGCCTTAACTACTCGAGCATGTACTACAACATCCTATACGACTATAACAATAAATAAACGAGCTCTCTATAAAAGTAGCTTCAAGAAAAGAGATACCTAATTCGAATCGTTCTACTTGAACTCGGTGACGATCAACATCCGGGAACCTTTTTTTTACATGAATGAAGTTAATTTGCGTAGTATCACGATTCGTCTATAGTTCATAGACAAAACTGCGCTAAATTCATGCATATTTGTGGATGTGTGTTTGGGGGACAGCTTGGGATGGTATATCGACTTTTGTTTACGTTAAAACATTCCAGAGTTAAGGTTACGAGGATAAGAGGCTGCATCCGGGACCTTTATTGTTTGGAAAGATAGTATGTATTTTTATAGCAGCTAGTAACAGACATATTTCTGCTAAATAGCCCAGACTAACATGTATCCAACAGTGCAGCAGGAGAGGCCCCATTGCATTGTGTAAAATGAACAACACGATATAACAACAAATGTCACTAAGTAAACTTCGTTCTAAGAGGACACTCGTAACGTAAATACGCTCAAACTGAGCAAGGTTGGATGTAAACTGATCAAAAACAAATGATGGAGGGAATAAAAATCGACTCCCTTGAGTTTAGTTTAGCCATGGCCTCGTAACTTAAAGGGTAGCAGTCGTCGTGCCGCGTCCTGTTAGATATGGGACTCATAGCGATGTATACAACGCGTGTAAAATACATTGCTTATTTACATGAAATTCGAACAGGCGCTGCGCAACGACCACCGCGCTTTAATTTTTATATTTTCCGGCGCTGAAATAAACATTGAAACAATGTGCTCAGGGTCCATTTTTCTCCACACTTCACTAGTAGAAACAAAACAAAAACAAAACAATAGCCATATTGCTACGTATGGTAACAATCAGCACATAGATTGTATGTATGTATGTACTAGTACAAGAATGCCTGCTGCGTGATACACATTGCACATAGTTCATCCATCCATCTTGGTCAGCCAATCAGAGCGAAATAGGGGACAGCCTTTATTTATTAGACAGTCGGTTGTATACAACGCTGTCAATGTTAATTTATGCCACAAGAGACAGTGGACTGGAACACAGTGTAATCTATGTCATCTCAGTGTAGCTTGTAAACTGGTCTGGAGTGTCGTACAAGTGGGATATATACATACAGTTTTTACCAGTAGTGTTTGATTGAATTGGATTCGAAATGAGTACCGAAGAGCCGCAAGTTCTTGACACCATTGGGGAAGATACAACTGACAAGACAAACGGTGTAGACGAGAATAACGAGGTTCCTATTCAGACGGATACCAAAGTCGAGACTACAATTCCAAAGGACGATTATGTGAACCCCACGGAAGAGGAAGCTCCAGCCGGTGACAATGCTAAGGACGATAGTGAGAGTGAGATGGCTAAGGAAATAGTTGCCGCTGTCGAGGCGGCTAATGCCAGCAGAGAAGAGGCCGAAAATAGAGAGAGTGCGTCAGCCGAGGCAGAAGAGGCCAGTGAAAATACCACAGTGAACGGGGAAACAAAGAAGACCGAGGAAGCCTCCGAGAATGAAGGAGAAAGTACTCAGGCGGAGACAGAAGTGGTCAGTGAAAATACCACAGTGAATGATGAAACAAAGGAACCCGAAGCAGACGCTAACGAACTTGAAGAAGTCCCTACAACAGAGTCGGAAAAAGAGGCGGACGACAGCACTATTGAAAAAGAAGAAAACCGGGAGGATGTCGAGTCTAAAATCGAAATTACGGAAAGTGAAGTGAAGACTGACGTCGCCGAGACACAGGAAGCAACACTGGGAGAGACAACGGTAACTCAATCGACGATGGTTGTCGAAACTGTGATTACCTCTCAAAAGATAGTATACGAGCAATGCGAAAACACAGATCCAGTGGAGGAAGCAGTGCCCGGGACAATGGAATCCATCACTAATGAAGATGGGAAGGAAGATGAAAAAACTACGGAAGAAAAACCCGACGAAACGGAAAACAAAGAGCAGCAACCCCAAGTTAATGGAGAAGAGAAAAAAGACGAGGTTGTTGTGGAACCAGAGAAAACAGAAGACGATGTGCCATCGGAGGAAAAATCAAATGTCGACGTTATCACTGAAGAGGCAGAAGGAGAGAAAAAGACGCCGAAGACTGGAAACGATAGCACACCGGAATGTAAAGGTCCGAAAACAGAAGCATCGCAAACAGACATTATAACAGAGGAAAACATAGAAGGTAAGTGAATTCCTAATCAACCCATAAAGAAAATTGTTATGCATGCATCGTATTAAAATATACTGAAACAATCTTTATAATTGTATGTACATGCATGACCCAATATTTCAAATCACGTGACCTACTGGAAATGTTTAGCCACGATGTGAGGATCTAGTCATTTTGCTCTCGTATGTTGTGTCCAAATTATATTTTGAACCCGAAGGTCTGGCAGAGATAAAAAAAAATCCTTTGACAGCGAGGACGTGAAATATCACTATTCCGACAGAAAGAATGCGGAGTTCTGATTTATGGTGAAGCGGGGCCAACACCAATCTGGAGTCGCATTTCATCCCTTCTAAAATTATCGACGCTATTATGACCTTAGTTGTTATTAGCAACCATCAACTCCTGCCAGTTGGCGACGCGGACCGACGCGATGTCATTCATTGCAAATGATCTGTGAAATAGCAAGAACGTATTCGCGCCAAAAATGATGTAGCTGCTTAAATGGCCATTAAATACCAGAAACTTCAAGTGGGTTTTAATTACTATTACTTCGTGTTTAGGTATTATCTTCCCAATAAAACAAACACTTTAACATCTGGAGCAAGCGATACTGAGTTAGATGTGTGTATAGGGCAACTTTTATCAATAGCTTCCAAATTTAAATGTAATTGGTCACTTTGCATATTTTTCGTTTTACGTTATCAATTTTACCGCTGAGTGAATATGATCCGTTGCAAAATTAGACGTGCATCCTGGGACCAGGCCCTAAACTCCACTAATTGTGATATCGACGACGTCGTTGGAATTATATTTTGATTAATAGCATGTGTTCGCTATATACTCTGGGAAGGCAGTCCAATCAAGCTAAATGAATCAAAACATTGGATTTCACGCTAACTGACTACAGTCACGGATATATTGGAAGTGATATTACTTGCCATGGGGCGAATTGATAAAGATTGTGGTCGATGCAACGTTAATCGCTTCGTGTGGAGTAGTTCATTAAACATGGGCGCTGTTGATTGATATGGATTTTAATAGCAGAATCTAAACAAACAAACGCACCAGGAAGAGGGGAACATCTGTTTTGACTAATATGTGTGTTTGAATCTAGATTCCTTGGACCGGTGATGTTATCCAGGCATGGTCGATTCCATCACGCAGCTTATGCGAGAATGGAGGCCAGACGCAATAACGTACACCCCGCTAGTAGCAACAGAATGTTATACATTATTCTTACATTATTTTCTTTAGATAAGACCGCAGCTGGGAGCTCGAACCTTCTATATTGTTTTATGAGAGATGCGACTGAATTGCTACGTACATGGCGACATACTCGATTACTTATCCCTGTAAAGGAAGAAAACTAATAATTTATAATTGTTCATACCAACTTGAATCACTATCAGAATAAATTTTATTATGACTACACGCATTCTGATAGTCATAATTCAAATTGCACAAGATATTAAAAACATAACCCAATGACCCAGAATGTTGGTAGACATGTAATAGAGTTTGAAAGTGGGCGTAGGCATTTACAGTAAAGGGTCAGTAATTCCCACGAGGGCTCTCCTGCGCGTGAAATATTTCGAACAAGTGAGCATCTGCTTCAGTCCAGCGTAACGGAAATCAGGCGGTGTGTATTTCCGTTTCCAATAAATCACGTGACTTCATAACCCAATTTATGGTTCAGGTAGCGTTACAGGTAACAGTCTAGGGTGGTGAGACGGGGAGTGACCGGTCTACCAAATTATACAATATACCGCATACAGTTGAGTTGGCGTGATACATAGGGACCTAAGTACAAACACGCTAGAAAAGTCGACTCAATTTACATGTATACCCAATACACTACTTAACCATATTCATGTTATTATAGTAAACTTAATTAACTCAAGTGGATCCTATTTTATATTTACTATGCCAAATAAAAACATCCAGTATGTGTGTGTTGTTCTATCATTGCAGTAACACCTGAAGACATAGAAACCTTGAAGAACAACCTCAAGGTGAAAAATTTAAATATTCGTTCCTATAGCAACCAGAAAGCTCACCGCACTGATGAGTACGATGTCCCCAATGTGTTGCTTCGCCGTGGTCAGTTATTTGAGATAGTTGTTGCATTTGAACAACAAGTCAAGTTGAACGAACATGAAATACACGTGGTTATCTCTTTGGGTGAGTATTTGTCGATTTACTACTTGTCTACATTTGTGCAGAAGAACCGTTCATATTGAATCTCTTCTGGGGTCTCGGAATTTATTTCAGTTATCAAGCGAATGTATATATCTCAAGAAAACTTTAACTACTAGAATTGGGAATATTATGTAGTGCATTATTGTGGACGACACCCCTCGGCCTTAATCTTTGGTTTAACAAACGGTTCTATAATTGTGTACGGCTAGAACTTAGTTACGGGGAGAAATTGTACATTGATATATACATGCAGCATTCGTGAATGATGGCGATGTTAGTGTATCTAGCTATATCTAGTCATCGTGTTATGATACAGTAATACTGAAATTATTGTCGTGTAATGATTCAGTGATACTGAATGTATTACTTTATATTATTATTTTTCGATTATAATTCCAGTCCAAAGTTTTAAATTTGAACAATTTACATTAATTGGCTTATGTGTGAGCGTATACTAATACTAGTGGAACTTCTGAAGCCTCGTTCGGGAATACCGAACTCATGCAGCCTCGTTCGAGTACAGAGCTTATGCAGCCTCGTTCTGTTTGATCAACACGTATGACGCCGACTACAACAGCAATTTAATCACAAAGTTTGGATTGTTGTTTTCACTAAACAATGTGAAGGGTTGATTATGAAAGGAATGTTTCTGCACGTGTCGTTTTTATTGACCCACAACACAACACTGGAGTCACTATATTATTGTTGTGTAACAACTAAACCAATCACTCGGCAATGTTGCATTCATGCGATACGAGTATATGCCAGTACGATTCTTTCAGACGCCCAATGGTGTCATGTATAGGTATTCGCCACGGTGAAGCCCCCTCCCCTGAATCCAATGACGCGTTGGAGAAGTACTATGTTGCTTAGTTTTTACGACATCAAACGAAATACGGAAAAAAATATACTTTTAGCGTTGAACGTTTGAGCTCACCTTTGTGTAGCAAGAAATCATTACATGAACGCTGCGAACAATTAACAGTAGATACTATGTGCTGGTTCAGGAATTTCTAGATACGCAGGCATGACCTTGGACATTTTGTCCTTGACCAAATTCCAGCAGACTTTTATCTTTATGGTCAATTTAAAAACGTTGGACAGTTTAGAGAACCCGCCCAGCAATCAATCCCATACCCATAGGTCATATTACAAAATGTAACACGCATATATCGGAGATTAAAATTCCAATAGTACGAACTTATTGAAAAGTGGGCACCTTGACCCACTTAACATAACATTCACACATGGATGACATATGTCCAATCTGTTTAAAATCCCATGTAGGTATAGGCTCTATTTTTCAAATTAAATGTAAGACAAACTAACTGAGTGTTTAGTTACATTATGTTCTGTGAGTTAACGAAGTATTATTGTTTATTCTATTATTATTTTGTATTGCACTTTATTGTACCTTCCATCGACATTCGTAACAATGTCGGGCTAGGATCGCCCTGAAGATATATTTGGGTGTGTGTGGCGGAGTCACTCTAACTGAAAGCGGTCAGTGACTTTCAGCCATATAGTCCCAGTGGCCAAGCACATGGGCAGAATAGTGGTATCTCTCTTTTATTAGCAGAATTGTGAAAAAATGTTTTTGGTTTTCAGGTGAATCTCCAAAGGTCACTGACGACACCAAGATCAGCGTACCGATAGGAAAAACCGCTAAACACTGGAAAGTGGATTTACTGTCTATAAAAGACGATGAAGTATCATTGCGAATCCACTCACCGGCCGACGCACCTGTGGGCAAGCTGAACATTGGACTGAGTGCTATGTTAAAACCAATCCAAGATCCAATGTATTGGAGATATGTAGACCTATTTACGCACGATGAACATCTATATCTTCTATTTAATCCATGGTGTAAAGGTCAGTAAATAATTGCGTTCAAGATATTATGACATACGCCACTCTTAAAGTGTCAATGATAACTCCGAATGCATGAATTATGTATTTATAAAACCAACTTACATATACTTCACGTAGTACCATACATATTCCATAGGAGTGGTGTTATTAATGATGCTAAACTTTGTTTTCAGATGATACCGTTTACATCGAAGGCGAAGAAGCTAGACAGGAATATATCTTGAATGATGCTGGCGTTTTGTATGAAGGTTCCCATGGAAATCCCAAGCCACGCCCATGGAATTTTGGACAGGTAATTCGTTGCAGTGTTATAATAATAATAATTATTAGCTCCGCTGTCGACTTTGTCGAGCGGAGCTTATCATATGAGTGATTGTCCGTCGTCGTCCGTCGTCGTCGTCCGTGTCAATGTTTTACTTTTTCGACTTCTTCTTGAAAACTACAAGTCTGAATGCTTTGATACTTGGTCTATATGTACCTTGGGTAGACGTCTTTCAGATTTGTTCATTTTGTGATGATATCTTCAATTCTCTAATTTTGGTGAATATTTTTGTCATTTTGGGTAAAAAGTGGTATTTTCGACTTCTTGTTAAAACGGCAGATCCTATTGCTTTGATATTACATATATAGGTACTACATGTGGACCTCCCGCAGATTTATTCATTTCCTGATGATATCTTTAATTTTCTAATTTTGATGAATATTTTTTTTTCATTGTGGTAAAAATTGATATTTTCGACTAAAAACCGCAAGTCTGATTGCTTTGATATTACATATATAGGTACTACATGTGTACATCTCTCAGATTTGTTCATTTTGTGAGGATATCTTTAATTCTCTTATTTTGGTGAATATTTTTGTAATTTTGTTCATTTCATGATGATGTCTTCAATTCTCTAATTTTAATGAATATTTTATGGTTGTTGCTGCTTATAGGCTTAAAACGATGATGCGCGTGTGTATTCAACCGTGGCTATAGCTGCTGATGTGTTTTAAATGGCTTGTAATGGCCGACTAAAGTAGGTCAAGTCAAGGCGTGTTCATCATAGATTCACAGACGTGTTCATCTATAAAGTATATTAGTACATGACGTTAACCAGAACATGATGCACATCTTAATTATTTCCACACAGTTCGATACATTCGTAACTCTGGCTGCATTTCATCTATTGGAGAAGGGACTTCCCATCAATGCTCGTTCTAGTGCAGTTAAAGTGGCTAGAGTCATGTCTGCCATGGTAAGTAAGGAAAGATATGCAGTGGATGAGTTATTGTCTGCCATGTTTTATACACAAGTTACATCACATAATGTTTTAAGTATACCCTGGACAATTTCGCGCATTAACGGACTTTCCCAGGGTATGTGATGTTTTTTCGCATATGACCATAAATTTCCTGAACAGTAAATACATTTGATGGCTTGTAATAAAACTGTGAAGGTTTTAATATAATACGTACGGACTTCCATTAAAACATTCAGTGACCATCACAATCTACATCACAGTCACAGTGACATAGGAACGGCCGTTACTATGGTCAGTAATGTTATTCTCCAGAACCTGAGAATGGCGGACATCATGGTGGCGTGTATCCTGTGATCTGATTGGTGGAAATTGTCCCGCCATGTCGGAGGTTACATTTTTATATATTGGACCATTGATCACCTTTGTTAAGTACCAAGAACGAATAGAATAACACTAATATATATATATTGTTTTTGTTCTTTGCAAATCCACACATCACTTGTTACTTGTATAATTGTTTTAAAGAGGGGTATAAGGAGGATCACATACCCACACGTAGTGTCAGCTAACACGAAAAGAATGCCATGTTCCGTTACAGATCAAAATTGCTACGTATAGTGTATAGTAAACAGTGAACTAAATCATTAATAATATTTCTCGGTTACTACTGAATTACCTATTGAAAATAACCTCTCTTCATTTTAGTTAGCTTCCGCATTACCTTCGGTTGTATGTGTATTGTAGACCAGCCATGGGAGAATGTTCCATGTCTGCGTAAAAAATAGATAGTGAACATAATAAATATGGACTTATAAAATTACTTCTTGAATTTGATGGGTTTGGTAATGTTATCATAGTAGCCAGTGTACCCAGTGACTTGGACAGTTTCATCGAATCGTGTGTGGGTGTCATCAGTTCAATTTGGATTTGCCTTGTTGAAAAAATCTGATCCGATGACAATCATGATGGGTCTAGACTTGAAGACAAATCACTGTATAGACATGCAATGTTGTCTCACATGCCTGAGACAGACTCGGACGAAATATTATTGTATAATCTTAAAACGCATGACCACAAGCCAAGCCACGCCAGTGTTTTTGTTTTCAACGTACAGAACAATCTTTTTTCCACAGAAAGGGGAATTGGTGACATTTTTGTTGAAATTACGCCAATCAATGTATGCCCAATATTAAGATAGGTGTAATATTTGACGACGTAGGTCTTAGTGTGTTTTATTTGTGATGATATATGTCATTCGGCTAAAACTGAGTGTATTTTTTGTAGTAGGGTGCTCATCAGTTTTGTCAAATTTAAATGCATTTCGAGTTTTGTGGAATGCTGATATATATTATCATTGATATATTTTGATTTTGTTCATTTTTGGGGCGTGCAAAAACAAGCAATGCGTAATAGTATACTATTTTGTGAGCAAACCAACGCTTTCAGTTTGCGGCTAATCATAAGCATGTGGTTGCGTGTATCTACACGTTAGCTGAAAGGTCATGTTCTTCGTGTAAACGTCGAACAACTACGTGCCATAGCGTATTTGACGCATGCATGCGTAAGCAGTTAAACTACCAATCTCAACGTCGTTTCACGTTGATTTAGTTACTTTATTGTAATACCCAACATACTACGTTTGCTGAACATCCACGCCAACTTAAACACATGTTTTTCAGTAGTACAGTGTTTACGCTTAATTGGTAAAGTAGGTAACTGTCAGTGTTTTCTGTGTGGCAATGAAGATTTTCATTAACAATTTTATATTCTCGTATATTCCATAGGGAATACACACAACGCAGTCTGTGAAGCATCATCATAACTTCAGTTTATGTCTTGTGGCTTTTCAGGTCAACTCCCATGACAATGCTGGCGTTCTTATCGGTAATTGGTCGGGTGAATACGGAAATGGCAAAGCTCCCTCAGAGTGGGCTGGTAGTGTTGAGGTGCTTTCGCAGTATATGACAACCGGTGAACCGGTGGGATATGCTCAATGCTGGGTCTTTTCCGGCGTACTCACTTCAGGTCTGTACCGCAAATATAAAAATAAACGTAAAGTCGCCAACACGTTGTATTTTACAGTTGAAGATTACACATAGAAAACAGAATGCTTATATTCATATTTGATTTACTGTGCGATGAATATTTATTTATAAATGTAATTCTAAATACTAGACTTTCATGTCACCGAACTCCTTATATGCGCCAAATATACACTGAAAAACAAATACGACGTGTAGACTGTTTATTATCATGACAGATAATAGAGATATGTTTTCAGTTTTCTTGAAGGAGAACTTAAATGATCCTTCTTTAATCTATTTATAGTTTTACGATGCCTGGGCATTCCTACACGAAGTGTTACTGTATATAGTTCAGCTCAAGACACCGATGGTAGTATGACAGTAGATGTTCACTGGAACCAAAGATATGAACCATTTGCTGAGTATAACACTGATAATGTCTGGTAAGATATCAAAGACCTCCCAGAAGTCTTACTAACTTACTAAGTCTTAGTTGTCAAAACTGTATAGTGAAATAAAAAGTGTGACTCCGCTCATACACAATCCGAATGATCATGATATGGCCAACCTCTGCAGACATCGTTAGTGACAGTCGACCTCCCGAAGACCTTCTTCCGAACATATGTGGAATAATTAAAACATAAAAACAGATCGATCCTCGGTATTTATAGCCTCAGATCACCGATGATCGTGAAGCATATCTACTATCGTGGCATTTGTCGCGCAACCCGTGTTTCAAGACATGACAGGCTAATTATGGAAAGTAGTGAGATAAAGTTTGCAGTTTGTTGGAAATTAGATATTTGGAATACATGTATATATATATATATATATGTTAAAATCAACACTTTCTGTAATAAGTAATTCTATTTCTATATATCTAACGTCAAATTATTTTAATTCCGCAACTAACACTTGCCTCCTGAAAGTACCGAGAATGATGTATGTATGCGACACAGCGATGTTGAACTCCCAGTATATTCTGTAGTGTAGGAAGTGGCTCGCGTTGATTAGAAAATAATTACATCTACTATAATTGTTTCTGTCCCTTGCAACAGAGTCTTAATCCATACATATCTGATCATATGATATGCAAAGGTTCATTCAAAGTTTACCCACATGTCCGATGTAGCGCAGAACACGTATCACCATAACTGCCTTGAATTGATTTGATGTCCACTATAGTAGTATACATTCCTTGTGACAGAGGCTTAATCTACGTAGATATGATTCTATGTATATAATACAGTGAATAGTTTACAAAGTGCAAAAAGGTTATCGCTGGATTCCACAGAGTCGAGCTTCTCCGCGTGGGTTTTATCAAAATGTTTTCTCTCTCTCACGAAGGAATCAATTTAAGGGTGACGAAATATTATATCAATGTTATTTACTTTTCATTCAGGGTGTTCCATGTTTTCAACGAATGTTACATGGCTCGCCCAGATATTCACAAGGGAAAGAAATACCGGGGGTGGCAAGTGATTGATGGAACACCTGCTCAGCGTAGTGATGGTAAGTGGAAGCTATTATGTCAAGTATTTAGTATTGGCAAGTTATAAGTATCTGAACATTAATACCTGATTGGTTAAATAAAATAAGACGGCTAATTAAAGCGCGGTGGTCGTCGCGCAGCGCGTGTTCGAATTTCATGTAAATGAGTCCCATATCGAACAGGACGCGGCACGACCGTGACAACCGCCGCCCTTTAAGTTTTACTAGGTTCAACGTGTCCTATATTAAGAATACAATTTGCCTTTTTGTCGACTAGCGTAGATAATCAAAACACTTCTCTTTAATTTAGGTCTTTACCAGACTGGACCATCGCCGATATCAGCCATCAAACGTGGCAATGTACCAGCGAAGTTTGACACTGAATACGCTTTTGCCATGGTCAATGCAGATCGAGTTCATTGGATGATACAGGAATCGGATGGAAACGTCTTCTCCAAACGTATACTGCACAAGGAAACAAGTAGCATTGGTAAAAAGATCGTAACTAAAAGCATAGGAAGCGATAATATGGATAATATCACTCAGCTTTATAAATACCACGAAGGTGAGGCAAGAAATTTGTTCAGCTGATACATTTATGGTACTATTAAAAAACGTATATAACGTGTCTACTATTGAGAAAATTGCTGATTCGTTCTCCTTAGCTATCGTTCTATGCTGCCTCCCTCAGACCTGGCGATTTTAATACAAGGCCACCACTAAACCATTTCCGGATTTAAAAACAAAACACACAAATAATTTAACTTTGTTTAGTTCTACTATTTAATCACCATTTTCTCGACTTTGACACCAACCGATATTTCCCAAAACCTTTGTATGTATTATCAATGTTGCATTACATGCATCATCTGTTGTGCAATATCTACATAGTTAAATGTACACACATAGTCACAACACATGGGAACAATTTTAATATTTGTTATATATGACATTTTATACAGGATCAAAAGAAGAACGCCGTGCTGTCAATACCGCATGTTCACACGGCACCGTCCACAAAAAATACTTTGAAACGTTGAAACCTAAAGACTTCGACATGAAAGTGCAAATCGACGAGAATGTCAAACTTGGCGCGGATGTCAACATGAAAGTGGTGTTCCACAATAAAACAGACTCGGAACAAAAGATTGAGTTGTTTATTGAATGTTACGGTACCCAGTACACTGGCTCATTGAAAGGCATCTGTAGAAAAGAAAAATTCGAAGTCACAGTTCCTCCGGGACACAAAGGTAACAATTTCTTTTGTTAGTGAATCCCTGGGGACCAGTAAAGCTATTTTTAACTGTGAATTAATAGAACGGCCCAGTTAAATTACTTATGCGAAGAGGTGACGAAATCAAAGACGTGGGTGTGCCTTATTTGCAACTATATGTTTCATTAAAAAAGTTTCGTAACGTGAAATAATTTACTTCACGCAGTGTTTTCCATGGCAATCTTGGAATGGTAATATAACACTACATCATTTGCAGACTTGTCAATTATTTACTACACATTATCTACGTCAAAAATTAATGACATGACATTTCGACCCGCCACATTTATTTTTGTATTTTGATCTTTCTTTGGTCCTTGTTATGTACGACGCGTACACGACTATATCAATATCAAGCTATATTTACCAGTTTTAACATAAGATACACTGAAACAGTCACGTCTGTGACAGAATTGTTTGCATAGTAAACGTAACATTTTAGTTGGTTCCACGTGGAGTTGTAAAAGCAAAAGATTAATTTCTCCGTTAATTCAGTCAGTCGTTTATATTGTATTCGATTATACTTATATATAAAAAAAATACTAAACACTAAAAATACTAAATATTAATATTAAATAAATATTAGTATTAAATAAAATAAATACACAAATAAATTATGCGGATTTATTGCATGATGTTTTGTCTTTCGTGGCTAGTTTTACGAATTAAATCTTTTTCCTACAGCTAAAGGCAAGGGTGGAATGGCGGGACATAAAGAGAGGCTGGTATCTGGTATGGTCAATGCAGTGGGCAGTCTAAGACGATCATCAACACCAGTTTCTGCCGAGTCAAGTGGGGGTGAGAACAATTACTGTAAAATGACTAATTTTCACTGGGTTTAAATTTCACTGATTTACCATTTCAGGCATATTCAGTGGGTTTTAAATTCACGGTTTCGTCATTTAGATAATGTGTTCCATGCTAAATTTTACATATTCACTGTGTTTTAATTTAGCGCATTTTTCCAGTCAGCGAAATAAGCTAAATTAAGACCCAGTGAATAATTACCCCCTTTACAGTATGTATCTCTATTTAGAAAGTCAGCGCAGCGGCTTTTAATAGATAACGTCCCGCCTTTACATACATGGATTAAACTCCCTCTATTTAGAATGCGACCATAGTGGCTTTTTATAGGTCAAGCCCCGCCCCAGAATTTCACTAAAATGATTAAATTAAAATACATTACAGGCCAGGGTCTCGCGTGAAATACCATCAGCATTTCGCAAACGCATTATGGCATTTGATTTAACATTTTAGTTTTATATAAAAAAAAAATAGGCCAAAGAACTTTCGACAGTCTAGCCCCGCCAGTATAGACATATAATAGCACTCCCTCTATTTATAATACGTGCGCAGAGGTTTTTTAATAGAACAAGCCCCGCCTTCGACTGAATTAGACTAAAGTACATTGTGATTATACTGCTAAGTTACAACTGATCATCGGCATGTACCTCAGTTTAGACACTGAGGGCAGTATACTGTGGCAAATTAGATGGGACACAACTGACTTGGTTCCCAGCTGATTTACAAATAATCTCATCAGCATTAATAATTTCACTCTATTATAACTTACAGTTGCAGATGTTGCTATGACATTGTATTATGAAGACTACAAGACTTTCATTCAAGACCACACTGCATTGAAATTTTTCATAATAGCTGTGAGAAAAGATCATCATCGTCATGAAATAGCATTACAGGACGAACTGATTCTTTCAACTCCATCACTCAAAATGACGGTAAAGGCTCAGTCTTTTCCACGGAACGAAACCCTGACCAGCATTTTTTTTCATTTGCCTAATATCTGAGAAAATTTCACACTGTGAAACACGAAATGAATAGCGCCATCAGTGTTCAACAATTCCAAAATGTCAGCACAAATGAATCGAGCTGCAACGTAGGCGGAAAAGAGGTTTCGTTTCGTGGAAAAGACTAATATTTTCTAAAATTACATGTATCAACAATAACATTGCATAACATGCAGGTGAGTGTACCCCAATTTGTAAATCACACCTGTTCTTTTCACTTCACTAGGTATCTGATCCATCCAAACTGAAAAGAGATGAAGATTTCACAGTTGACATTTCTTTCACTAATCCATTACCAGTGACTCTCACTAATGTCAGATTCAACTTGGAAGGATTGAGGTTTCAGCAAGCCAAGACTATCCAATATGGGTAAGAATTGTACATATGGTGGAATACTATTGACAGCACAGCGAAGTATCCAAAACATTTGTTAGTTCCGCTGCTCATAGAGCTGTACTATTTATATTATTGTGCAAACTAGTCGCCAACTTTACATTGTCATTCAGGTTCGAGTTTTCACTAATTTTGTAATATTTCTGTGTGTTAAGGTAGAAGCCTACTCATGATTTCAAAAACCCAGAATTTCTTAATTTTTTAATATATTGTACTTCCAGGCAATATAAGAATATTGACTTTGAAAAAAATGGGGGTCACCAGGTTAATTTTCGAGAAAATCATGGTTGTATTTTAGTGGATAGTGGCCATTTTGGCAGTATTATAGTGCTTTTACCATAGGTTCCTATGGCAGAGATATTATGCCATATCTCAAATTGTAGGTTGGTGACATAGGCTGAAAAAATAATATATTGTTAATGATGGCCTACTTTTTGTTTTCCTGAATTTTTTCAAAAATCTGGGTTTTAAAAAGTATTGAAAAATGCAATTTTTGTTTAACATTGCGCTCTATAAAATTGTTCTAAAAATAGCTATTTTTGAAAAAATGTAGTACAAATTTCTCAAAATACGTCACTGTAACACACAATAGAATGCTATTTTATGGTGCCAAGGAACAATAGCTTCATGATTTTACATAATAAATCAATGAACATTGTCATGTGATTTATGACCAAATTTCTCAAAAAAATACGAGTAGGCTTCTACCTTAAGCACACAACAGAAGCCTTTGTGGTTACCTTGACTGTATGAATGTGTGTGTGTCTGTTCCATTGATATCTCAAGACCTCTCAATGAAACTTGAAAAATAATACTCTGGGATAATGCACAAACCTATATATCTATGCCCTTGAAATCTGTTTAAAATAATTACCTACTTAGCACAATAATTAGCTAATTTTAAGCTGTTCTACTTGTTTCTCAAAAACCATCCAACAGATTTCAATGAAACTTCGTACACAAGTGCTCTGGTTTAAACCTTGCATTACCAAAATAATCTTTGTTGTAATACCGGTACATCATGTAATACGACATATATTTATGATAATAGCTTGAAAATATTGATTTCCCAGCTGTCTTGGTGCTATTTGCACATGTGTGGTATGAACATCATTTATGCCCCTTTAAGAACCACAAGCTTTACGCAACTGTCTTGACCAACGAATTCAATCCTGCAAAGACCAGTATCACAAAATTAAATTGAAAAAACAATAGGTAGATTAATAGTGTAGTTGTTGATATCAGAAAGTCAAATATATACAAACAAGTTATTCATACTTTCAGCTCTATATATTATGCATGGAAAACCAGATGGATCATTATTTTGATTCAACATGTCCAACAATTTTGTCTTACAGGGATATTGCACCCGAGGCAGACGTCCATGTCAACTTTAATCTCACACCAAAACTTGCTGGAAAGAAGATACTTGTAGCAACCCTACACTCAAATCAACTGCAAGGGGTGAATGGTGCCTTGCAAGTGGAAATCAGACTTTAGTTATCTAAAACTACCTCAGTTTTCATTTTAATAAGGAATGTTTGTATAAGTGGTTCCAAGTGGTTCATATCGCACTGACAAGTGCTGAACGTGTGAGAGATGAGGAACGGCTGGGATATACAAAACAATAGTTCTAGAAAGATGAATATACAATCCTTTCTGGCAGCTGATTTATGCATGCGTCATCAACTTTGTTATCATCTTTAAACCTTTCTTGAGTGATGTGAAATGAAGGTGATATGTGTAGTTAATTCACCACAGTTTTACAAAGATGTTCATTCAAAAACTACCAGGGATAACAAACATTACCAACAAGGGGTATATCCCTTGCAATATTTATGAAAATATTAAATTTAAAAAAAGTCATTTATAAAATCCTTACTTAAAAAAAAGATACCAAATATTATTATTGATAATACATTTAATGATATTTAGGCTTAAAAGAAACACTGGTGCTCACATTACAAAGTGTAATATTTTTAGTTCTGAAATATGAAATCCTGCATTGTGCGGGAAACACTATGAACAAATATAACTGGGAAATTACTGGAATGTAAAGAAATACAAGTGTAGGGTATATAAAGTGCATATCTTCAGTAGACGAGTTTTTTATTTAAACTATAATTAATTGTAAAGAAAAAAATGTGTTCCCAGATTGTAGTGAGGTATTTAAATTGAATGTCAGTTTTGCGAAATTGTTATGGAACGTCATTTTTCAATGTTTAACCAGTCATTTGTCTAGGAGGGTTATATCGTTGTCTAGGTGTGACAATACTGATATTTTGTGACCTGTTACTCAGACTTATTTATCTGCTCTTGTACAATCAAGGAACCTAACATTAAGTTTAACATAAGTAATAAATACCAGTACCTATTGTTAAATATGTATTTAATAGCTGCCAATTGTATATGCAGTGACCTCTTATTTTTATTTAGAAATTTAGATTTAATACTGCCATATTTTTTTTCGTTAATAAAACATAATCTTTCTAAAATGATTTTATGTCTCATTTATTTGATAGTAGTGAACGCATTGACATGTTTTGTTTGTTTTACTTTGAGTGTCCATTTGGCATTATGTATAGATAACATTGGCGTAATTGTTATCACGTTAACTATGGAGAAATCATCTCTATGAGAGGTAATTACCCAGGTCAATGGCAAATGTGAATATCTTCTAATATATACATTTTGTATCACAGCTCACATACTGTTAATTTTGACAACTATTTGAATTGACCAGCTTGACTGTACATGTGCAAATGGATTCGAGCATATCTAAAAAAACTGGCTCGTTATGAATACGTACGGTAAACATTTGTTGTTGTGTAGGCCTTCCCAATGAACTGTTCTGATGACTGTGCTGCTTCAACATGTGCCTGCAGATGCTGGTATATAACGACTCGTATCAGCTATACATGGAGGCTTTCAATGTGTTGAATGACTTCATCACATGTGTCATGCAGTAGCAGTGACATAAATATGTAATATTTTTCCATAGTACCCCCACCCCCCGCATTGCACAAATCGAAATAGTGACATCACCAACTAATAACTTCCTAAAATGGAAAAAAACAAACATAGCTCTTGTTTAATGACTTGTTTGTGAAAACTGTTTGAAATATGAATAATCTTAATGTTCTAACTATGTACATCATGTATTCATCAATATGAGTTTTCATTTAAAAAAATTGCATTTATAGATTTTGCAGTTTTCCATTTTCCCAACCTTACAGTGGCAACACAATGGAATCCTTTTCTGCACTGAACTACCACTACTGCTTTCTGAATTACATGTACTATTAAGATGTGTGAAGAAAGCTGATAGAATTAGCCCACAAAAATGTTGCCAATGTGTCTCAAACATTCTAAACATTCACGAAATAGCACTTCTGTATGCAAATGAATAAAACGCAGCACTATGTTGCTTAGGACATGTGATTCTGTTTCTGTGAGGCTTCTGCTGGTGAAATGGCTTGAAATGCATACATGTGATAAATACCGGTAGGCTATCAAAATTCCTGACCATCTATAATCATTTTTATTAAACTTGTGTATTGATTTTCATATGTTCCTTGTCCAAAATTTGGAACATATTAAACTCACTACACTCGTTTAATAAATACGATATCACATGGTCCCTAATTTGATATACTGTGTTTAATAAACATGATCATTATCAAGTATTTTCCACAAACAAACAAAAACACCACATACATGTATCTCTATAAAACAAAACAATATTGATTAAAAACTTTACCAGGATTTTTTACAAAATGAAATCATAAAAGTTATTTCTACAAATCTATCTCATATAAAGTCGATATGTTTTGGCATTTTCAAAAGAATTTTCATCAAATCTATAAATACTAAATTATAGTTGCATTCCCAATATTGTATGATCTTCAGAAAACCTCTCACTGACGACTGTAAGCATCATAAGGGCTTTGGATTTTGTACAGTTCAAGAGAAATCTTAAACAGAACCAAATTTAGAAAGCACTCCTAACAAAAGTAAAGTATGTTTGATTTAGTGATTAAACACAACAATCAGTACCCCAAATATAGCACTTTTTCATGGTAATCACAATATTCAGAGAGAGGTGTTCTGCATATATTGCAAAATAGGAATATAACTTTAAAAGCTTGGAAATAATAATTTCATAAATAATTTGTGATTCTCAAATGTAGAAACAAAGTTTGGAAAATCTCTGCATCATCTTTTATCAATTCGAAAAACAATTTTAAAAGCTATATAATCCTTAATTTGAGATATTAAATATTCTTTAGCGGTACTCAGACAACTATCTATCAAACATACTTGTCTGACTTAGCACCCTACTTGACTAAACGCCCGCCCCACCTTCAGGGTGTTTCTAATTCCGTGGGTAAGATTCGGCTAGGTGTCCATCCATTCTGATTAGTTAATTACAGATTTGACCTATCAGGTCCTGGACGTTGTTGCAGGTCAAAATGTGCGAGAAAATATCATGACGAAAAATGCTTTGCATTGTGAGTTTGCATACAATCAAACACATTTGAAAACAAAGATAATTATAAACATTTTGAATTTGACTGTTTTACCAAAGACCCTAATAATTTTTACATCGTAAATTCTGATGTGCATAAAATGTGCATATTATTTTGTGATCATTTCTGTTTCTTCAGTGTAATAACATTGTTGAAATCAATGACGAAACAACTAATGGTAATTACGCAATTTTATTTTTTATTTTCCCCAAAGAGAAGATAAATTCTCCTCAATCTGGCACATGGTGAACTACAATTGTCATTTGTATAATTTTTCGAGGGAGGTGCTCGGCTAAGCTCCCACCACCCTAAAAATCATGATTTCTGGAGTACCCCGGGCACTAAGGCAGACAAGTATGGTATGTTTGCTTAGGTCAGTAAAAGTTGTATTATCGAATATTTCAAATCTGCTGTGATCTTTTCTTGAATGCCTTAGGTAGGTATGCTTGTGTGACCTGATTTGTAACAACTAAAGCAAGTATACCTGGGCAAAAAAGACACATATAAAAAACAGTATCACTAGCTTGACTGACAAACCAGTTTGAAAAAATTCCTAGCACCATTGTTCCACAAGCAAGAGTAAACATCATAACTCCAGACGTAGCATGGTAGAGCTTCAGATCCGATAACTTAACATACTGAGAAATCATCTTTGGGTACAGCATAAAACTTCCAGCGATACACTGCATGGCACAATATCCAACAGTAATGATACCCAGTAGCCCATGCCATGTGGTGAAATGCGGTTTGTTATTCATGTATTTGTTGCTTACAATTGTGATAACACCTGCTAAGGCACATACGAGTCCAGTGACATTATTGATCCAGTGATAACGGACTTTAGTTTTTCTCATTGCCTTCGGTAATAAAGTACTCTCAGGTGAGAAAAACATAATTGCTTCTAATACCAGGAATGCAAACTAAAAGAAATGAAATAACATAAATTAAATTCTGTAGTTTTAGTTTTCTAACTCATAGTGATCAATGAAACACTCTGGCATTAAAGGCTATAGGCTTCATTATTTTTATATATATATGTGCAATACTGAATGTACACACATGATATGTATACACAAACAACACTCAAAGAGCTGGCAAATGAAATCTGGTGGACCAAAAATTTATTTCCCAGTTACTTTCATGGTATTATCATAAATATATATCATGCTACCAGACATAACACCATATTTTTACTGATTTAGCACAAGGGCTCAGTAATATAAAGACTAAATTATATGAAAATATTGGTGAAAACACGGCTCAGGCTCCTTGGAAAAAATAGCAAATAATCATACTGCATACTGCAAAACAAAATTTTCATTCATGTGTGAAACAATATACATGTATTGCCTCTGTATCAAGGTTGATTTATAAGTTATAAGCAAAATGAGCAAAAATAAGCAAATCCATAAAAATAATGGATGTGCTTAGCAGCAGGTGTTACCAATATTCAATAAGTTTGAACAAAATCAGTCATAGCAACCCAGAGATAATGCTCTACACACATAAAATGTAGGTTTTAATGCCATTAAATATGGCCACAAGTTGGCCATTTTAAAACTGATTGGAGGAAAAATCAGGAGCACATGTACACTATTATGAATCAAATATGGAAAACAAATCAACGAACCTCTGAGAAAATGTGATGGATAAATAAAGGGCCAAATTTTGAGGAGCATCAAAAACACAGATTGATGCCATATAACAAAATAGAATGCTGGCTAACCAATCACTGCACAGAATTTAAAATAGATTGTTGCCTGTGTACTTATAATATGAACATCTTGAATGATGAGACTTACAAGTTCTCTGCCAATTGTTGTAAAATTTGAGAACACATGCAATACAACCTCATGGCCTATATCCCGTAAACATGGGGGAGCATATTGTCAACAAAACGTTCAAAATGAACAACACTTTCAAGTACCATATATGCAAACTAGTTTTCAATAAGGTAGTGTTATAAACTTGTAGATTAAAAAATAATGTATTTCTCTAACTTTATAATCAATACAAAGGTATATTTAAGTTGTATACTTACAGCCACAGACATAAGTGTTGGGTGCCATGAGAAAAGACCTGTAATTAAAAGAGAAATTTTATTTAGGATTAACTAACAGCTAACTTAGAAAAACGTTCTAATGCATAATTGCTAAAATAGAACATTTTGGTGCCCATTTCCCAAACAACATCAATCAAAGTTAATTACGGTAAACTCTGCAGAGCTTCCAGGTGAACACAAAATATAAGCAATCATTGGTGTTTTATAATGAAATATCTTAGCAAGCATTGACAATGCTCAGTCCCTGTTCTTTATTAATGCCAAATTCCATACTAGCTGCAATCCAGTAGTTTGGGTATACATTTGGCTAAATAGGGCTGTAATCAGTCGTTGCTGGCAATGTACTGTAAATGGGCTGAGCATATTTGGTAGAATCACTAAAACATACTGAATAGCCTCAATGTTGAAGACATTGTAGTTATGAATATTAATATACATCTGTCACCATAATGCCATATGTTACATAATGCCATAATTTCGTGGTATTTGGGTATTTGCATCCTACCATATTAGGAAATGCAAATCCCAAATATAAAACAATTATGTGCATAAGCACCCTCTATTATTAAAAGCAAACATGGCAGACCCCAGCGTGAAGTTTGCTAAATCTGTTCAACACATTTTAGCACGTTGTTGTTTACAAACAAGCGTTCACCTATGAGCCTTTGTGTTTTTAGCGTGCATTGTTATTGTTGATTGGGGCTCAAATTCTGCGTATGAGCAGGTGATGATCCCTACACTTTAATTCTTCTAAAGTTATAATTTAAAGTGTTGTGTATGAAGAAAGTCAAGTAACGCATCCCCAAGATCTGTTTCTTGACATGTTAAATACCTGTGGTGACTTCTTTTCATACGTGGTGAACGGGAAAACCATTTTGGGCTAGTACCATAGTCAAATTTTGGAGAGTTGAAGACTATTTATACACAAGAGCGTCCAGTAAACAATTGTTAAAATTGTTTCATTGGCATATCAAAATCCTTCATTGGAACAAAACAAAAACTCAAGAAAAAAAAACATTCGATCTAAACAACCTGCGTCTTATCGCCCTTGATTTTTTGATAATATCTTAAAATCAGTCCAGCCGTTAGATGTGTTATTTATTAAAGACACTTGGGAATCCAAAATTTGAGATGTAAATCACTCTGACGAGGAAAAAACGATGCTAATATTTAAAGGATGGTAGTTGTTGCACCACGCATGCACGAGATATATGGGTCTCATATAAACAAAGATGGCAACTCTGACTGTTCCTCAGATCAACGAGTAAAAACTGATATGTTACCAAGCTATAATTATGTTTTTTTAGGTGATTGGAAGGTATTAAATGAGTTAGCGGCGGTAATTAGTGTCACCCTTTAAGGGGGCAAAGAACTGAATTTTAAAAACATATTTTATGTATAGGGTATATAAATATTCAGCAGTTAGCCATCTTTAATCGGAAGACAACAATATTGTATGTGTGCATGTATACCATGATGCTCAAAGCATGTATGAGATATACCGGTATGTCTGAAATAGAAGATGTAAAAACAAAATGGCCACCAGTTGTCTACCTTCAGTCAAATTTACAAATCAAATCAATCAACCAACCATCTATAAAAAATCAGACAACACATACCAGTAATGATTTTTTCATTCTTAGCATTTTTGCAAAATTTATTTTCTATATTCTTGAAATGTTTTAGTACTGTAAGTTTTGTTGTTCTGAATGTTTTGTTATTGTTATTTTTGGACTTTACTCAAGATTTCATTGGTACGTTCCAAATAAAAAATTCTATCTATCTATCTACCAGAGAGATCTGGCTTTGCACATGTCAAAATACCTGATCTTAGTGTATTTCACACCAAAAATGAGCACCAGTCAGCCATCTTTGACCGAATCATGAAATCATCATCACACGTGTATATGTATCACATACACATGAATACAAATGCTGCTCAAAGGTAGATAAAGGTAAAACAAACTATGATTGTTCAATGGTCATTCCTTTTATCTCTTGGTAGGTGCGTTCTTTTATAAATTACAGTAACGTGCTCGAAACCGAAACAAAGTCATAATTTTGTGAAGTGGAAATAACAAAAACAACCATAGACCTGTTAACACCAGTTTTATATGAAATTTTACAAGTCCAAGATAAATTTATTAAAAATAAATGTTAAATTATAATAAATAAATAAAAAAAAAAGAGTCAATATTAACACTTACTAGATCCAGGCCAAGCATGGTATATAATTGTACCACAGAAGACGATAGCAACCAGGTGAGCAACCATCCCTAAAAAAGCGCTGAAGCTAATCAATACTGAATTATGAGTATTTTTTGCAGACGATAGTCTAACCTCAGTTTTCTCGTCCGCCATATGCAAGCCAGTTACGCGCAAACTCGTATGAGCCGACCACTCGAGGAACATACCATTCTTCATTTGGGTGAAGCAAATTTTTTTTGGAAGTACCGTAGTCCAGTAATGAATGAATAAGAGTTAAAGTAGTATTACTATTTTTTTAATAAAATAACGTATTTTATTCATTCGTTAATTACCGTTTACAGGTTTACTTATTCTCTATTTGTTTGGCCTGGTAACAAAAATATTACCTTCCAATATGCGTAGTTGCTTCCGAAAAAATTGTCAAAGTGGAAGGGTCATTCGTGGGTCAATCGTAGTCGGCGTTGTACGGGGACAGAAGGTCAACTGGTATATTTGTCAATAACCTCGACGATGGCAGGTAAAGACAACAAAATAAAATGTATTTTCTTCAGTGAATTCCATCCAGTGGCGGGACCAAAAATAACTTATCAGGTGGGTATTGCTGTCGAACGTTTTTTGACGATTTTGACTTCGACTCGGGGAGGGTGATATCTTGTTTTAACCAATTATACCTTTCCATTTTATATAATCGACTGTTAGGTATTTGTGTTCTCTGCATTTCAGCTTTATCTGACATTTTTACTTTGAAAAATTATTATTATTATTATTTATTTATTCACCACACGTATTTATTTGGATACCATTATCAAATAAAGAATAAAAAATCAACAATAGCCAAATAAAACATTTATAACTGTCACCAAATCTTCTGAATGACTCAAAAAATAAGATTAAGTTAAGTTGAGTTAATGCTTGTTTAGGGGTATAGGCCATAGACAAGTGTCCTCCAGAGTTCTCGGTTTTGGGCTTTGTTCTCTATCTTGCTCCAGTTGTATCATCCTCTTGATTTCTGCCTGAAGATCTTTTCGCCAGGTGGTCCTTGGACATTCTCTTTTTCTCTTTTCTTGAGGGTTCCACATCAGGGCTTGTCTGGTGGTGTTTGACGCAAGTTTCTATAGTGTGTGTCCTATCCAACGCCATCTTCTGCTAATTTCCTCTTCTGCCGGTACTTGTTGGGACATAAATGCCTGTGAAATGCCTACTGTCAACTTTTGTTTTATGCCACTTTAACTTTTATAACTCGCATGCATATCGGAAAAACATGGCCCCACATTTAGTATTTACGACACACCCCTTTTTCTTTTTGGTCGAACATATTGTATAAACATAACAAAGCATGAAAAGCAAGCCAGAGAATGTGTCTCTATGATTTTGAGAAATTGGAGATAGTAACAATCTACATATTAATTATACTGCGAGCATTTACTTCTTTAGATGTACATTGTCTGTATGGTAGTCTGCCTCACAAACTTTACTAGTAAATGTATAACAATACTGGATGAGGATTAATTGTTTTGTGTGAGATACGATGACCTTAATTGCTTAATCGCCCCAAAATTACCAGCAGGTAATTGGAGGTAATTTTATGAAATTACTGAAAACACTGGATAATTCACTAGAATTAGTTCAGATACAATAATAACTGTTTTGGAATGTGGCTGGTGGTAAGGGGACAAGAAACAATAACATAAGGTTGATAACATAAGTTGAGGCTCTTTAGGCAATGTTCAGCTTTAAATAAGTTCCAGTTTTTTTAATTTTTTTAGTTTACCTACTTTGTTTCAGTCTAAGTGTATCTGCCTCAATAAACGTTTATCTTAGATGAAACATTTTTGTCAGGAAATTTGTTCGGCCTTTTTAGGACAACGTCTGATCAAACTTAGCTACTGTTTAAGTTCCCACTCAACAATGTCGTCATCTTTGTAATTTTAAAATGTAAGCCTAGGACTTTCTCAATGAACTGATGATGTCACTTGATTGAGAATCTTTTGTAACTAAGGTGAATTCTCACTTATTTGTAATTAGTCTACATTATGTATTGGTTTCTACATGAGTTTAGGTAGTTTTCGGCACAGGTTTCGATAGGGCTGACTGTTTTCAGTAATTTCATAACAATCCTATTTTGAGTTTTATCAGAATATGACTTTCAGTAGTTGCTTTAACTTTGAAGCTGAGAATGTACCGATATCCAGTTTAAAGGCAAAATTCAATCAAAGTGCTTTTACATACAGGAGAATAGAAAGAAATTTGTTTTTAAAATCACCAAGGCAGACTGGTAGGGCAATTTAGGTGATTACCTTTGATGCCTCAGTGACATTGTTTTAGTGTTATTAAATCCTGTTTGATGCAATATTATTCAATTTGTTTTTAGGTGAAGACAGATAGTGAACCTGGAGACTACATATCCAAGGAAATGTTTGATATTTTTCATGTTTACATAATTACCAAACCACAGTTACAGAATAAACTGATTACAGTGTAAGTCTTATCCTAATTAAATAATCCTCCAGTTTTCTGTTAACCATTTACCGGTATTGACTGGTGCCAGTAAATCTACTTGCACACTATATTATAGTATGAGACAACATGTACAGAGCAGCGGTGACTTGGTGTAAACTTCAAGTGCCTGAACCTCAATTCCACTTTTATTCCAATAACCCAAATGAACCATTACGTCATTAATACATCATAAATAATACATACGGTAGGAGTATCGATACATAAGTATAGTATTGGTAGATACTTGGATATTATACATACTTTAACAATATTCACATGGAGTGAACATCATATTTCTGCAGTCAATAATATGCTTCTTACCACAAAGATATGTATTGCATTCAATGAAATAAAAATTCAACAAACCTGTTTGTCTATTCATTTAAAGTTAATGCTCATTTTCTGCAGCAAGAAAACCAACTAAACCATTAATTATTGGATGAACTGTGTATGTTACAAAACTTCAGAACTCGTAGTATTTTTAATTTGTTTTGTTTTCCAGAAATGCTCTTGGTCACAAAATAATGGGTTGTTCTGTTGGAATAGAGAATGCTAAATATTCACGAAATGCTTTGCTTTTCAACTTGTGTTTTGTGTTTGATTCATTGTCAAATACTACACCATATGAACCAGTTGTAAAGAAACTAGCCAGTTACCTGATCGCAATGGAGGTAAAAATAATTCAATCTAGTAGTCTTATGGTTGTGGATGCTTATTGCAAAAATGTGTATCTCTACAATGTCCTTAAAGAAAGGTCATTTGGGAGCTGATATAGAGTGTAATTTATTGCAAAAATGTGTATCTCTACAATGTCCTTAAAGAAAGGTCATTTGGGAGCTGATATAGAGTGTCATTTATTGCAAAAATGTGTATCTCTACAATGTCCTTAAAGAAAGGTCATTTGGGAGCTGATATAGAGTGTAATTTATTGCAAAAAGTCGTGTAATGTGTAAAGCTTTATTAACTACTGTTACTGAATACTGTAAAATACTTTATTTTAGTTCATACGCAATCTGAAAACTGGATTGACCTCTGTGCATAATAATTTTTTTATTTGCGAATATAAGAAATACAAAGAAGAAAAACAAGGAAGCTGGAACGAATTGAAACATTAGAAATGACTACATATAAAAAAAACAAAAAAACAAAACAAAAGACAATAAAGAAATGACAGAAAAAAGTGACAGTGTTATGTTAAGTTAAACTTAAATTCACAAAAATTAAAAAATATTAAAAATCAACAATATTCCATTTTCTACATGTATTAAAAAAAAACAAAAAAACAAAACTGGTGGAATATTATATATTTATTATGCATCATGTCATAGTTATATTGATTTGACTATTTGATTCAAAATGGCTACTGATGGCCATTTTGCTTTAATTAATGATGTTCCAGAGCAATATCTGCAAATTATGGAGTATTTGTTTGACAATCAGATACAAGATGACTGAATGTCAATCATTTTAATGTTAAAAATCTTCATTATCAAGCATCAGCTTCTGGATCCATATCTCTCTATGTTTATGTTCCAACTATATTGCTATAAACAAAACTATATGTTTTAAATTTGATAACTAACTGGGACTGTGCCATGCATGGCTTGTTTTTTTATTGTCACAATTAAATACGCAGTCTTTAATTGGTGTTAACGCCTGGAAATGAGCATTCGTCATTCTTTTCACTAGCCATTTCTCTTGTCATTGTTACCAATCAGACCCGATTCCTTATCTCTGGTATTTCTCTACCCTTTGTCTTTTGTTTACCTCATTACGCATATATTCATCAGTCATGACCCTTGACTTGCTATGTCCACATTCTCAGCCTATCCTTGGCTTTATCCCTTATGTCATCCTCATTTACCAATTACGTGCCTGCATTGTTAGCGTCCCTTTTCTTTGACACCACTCATTCGTCTCCTGCTTTCCGCGTAGTCCACATCGTCTCAAGTTTTCCTCCCACCCACCCTGCAACTTATCAGCTCTGCAGTTGTATTTAATTATTCCTTTACGTTACAATAAATACAGTCTGCGGGGGGTTTGTCACCAGGGAGTCATGGCTCGGTTCGGGTAACACGGCGCCCTTGTCCCGAGGCGAGTCGAATATGACCGAAACGCCAAGGGAGATGAGGCCTCAATGACGCCTACGCACACGAGTCCCCACAGGTGGCTGCCTCATTCGAGCACCACGTTGTCATTGTCATGATCTTGGTCACTGGAAACCTAGATCATGACATAGGCGGCTAAGACGCTTTCGCACGTGAGGTCATACCCCCCCGATTTCTTCCTCCAATACCTGTCTCTGTGTCATTTCTTGGGCGTTAACACATTATTATGATCAGTGTAGCAATTAAATCCTCACACAAAACACTGTTTATCTTTGTTGTTTTCTCTATTGATAGCTAGAGAATGGATTTATTTCAAATGAAGACAGCAAATCAGCATTACCAGATATTCTATCAAAACTATTAGTACAAATGAATACATATGGCAAATGTTCCATACAAGTCAGTAAGTAATAGCCTTAAGGCCAAGCAAAAAAAATGTATGCGTCAGTTAATAGAGGGTTGTGTTATTGTGTTGAAACTACATATGGTCTAGTTTTATGGATTAAATTTGTTTAGAATTGATTTGTATTTTTGTATGTTTGTTTGTATCCTAATAATGTTTCCAAACAAAATGGAATGTTGAATGTCCAGCCAGTGGTGATTTGCAAGTATACTGTAATATGCTTGGAAGTACATAGACCAGTGATAATAAAAATAGATGTATGTGTAAAACATTTTACATGTATGTATTTCTCATATACAGATGAGTCAAATACCATACATTTGAAGACAGTTTCCACAGCAATTGACCCTCCAGCAGTACTTGGCCATCATGTGCCTATGTTTTTAGTGGATAAACATTCATTTAACATCAGTCAGTGGGATCTTACAACTCAACAAGTAAGTATGGATATGTGATGGATCAATGTCATAGATACTTTCAAAATAAACCACAGGGAGCCCAGGAACTATGATCAACTGTACGCACTCCCTATGAGCGTGCGGGGGGGGGGGGGGTGTTATCGGCTGGTATCTAGTGTAAGAAATAGACAAGGGATGAAGGCTCCAGCCAGCTCACATTTTTTTAACTCGAAAAAACAGACGAAAAGAATGAAAAATAAAATCTAAAAAAAATACCAGGTTGAAGTTGGAGGCGTGGCCTGTTCAGCATTTTGTCAATAACCAACCCCAAGACTGGTTACGAACCAGTTGAGCAAGGCTAACCGAGTCGTGTATTTGACTTGTAGCATTAGAAAACACCATTCATGCATGTTGATGTGTGGGAACAATAATGAACCAGGTTATAGCCTTATTCAAGAAGACTAAAAAATGCAATATATACTTGGTGATTACACAATGACCCTAGAAAAAAAGAACCAGAGACAAAACAGATTTCTCAAAATGCATTTTTTCTGCAATTTTGGAATTAATCAAGATATTCATTGAATATCACTACAGTTGCATATCTATTTATTTACTTGTTACAGGATGGAATACGTTACTTTGACATTCCTATTTTTTGTTAGAAAACAGCTTACCAGGGTAAATGTAAGCAAAAAATGGATGGTGAAATAATACAATCATCATGAATTTCATAATGAAATTTTCATAGACAGCATGAATGTAGTTATCAAAGATTTTGTGTTGCATGATTTGTTAATTTACTGATGTGAACTTTACTGATATTATCATATAGATATAATTTGTTTTTATTTCAGCTTCTCCCTTATATAGATGGTTTTAATCATGTTCAACTTATTGCAGCAGAAGCTGACGTAGACTTACACTTAGCACGTATGTGTATGCAGAATTTACTGTGAGTATCTTTTTCATTACAGAATTTATTCTGATTCTCGCCATTTTGTATGTTACCTTAGGAATGTAATAGTAATTTTATTCCCCCTGCATGGTTTTGTTTGGATAATTTATTATCCCCTTTGTGTGAAGTATGATATTAGATGTATGAATGTGTATAATAGAAATTATCCCATGGTTTGATTAACATTTAACATAATTCATCCTCATTTCATAGGCTGTAAAAGAGGTTTCACCTCTGTGAATGCACCTATATATCAAACATGCCTTCCTCTTCTTCTCGTAACTAAGGCGATGGCCAAAGGAACGGATGTCTCTTATGAATCAACCAATTTTGCATCCCTCTCAACTGCCTCATTCCATCTTGTGGGGTGCCTCTCTTTCTTCTGCATGCCGCCTACTTCCTCCGGGTTTCAATCCATCAGCACCCTATGTAGCCTCTCTGGTCCCATACAGCATACATAGCCAAACAATCATCACCTTTCCTGTTTTTTTCAGCAGTTTCCTTCATAGTGGGTCTTGAATCCTGTTCAAGAGGATTACCGGTATATCAAACACTTTGCCTGGTACAAAGAGGATGGAGAAACCTCTGTAATTCACATATTCATCAACCATTATATATAATACATGTACATATGCATTTGTTCCATGATCCAATCCAAGATGGCCAAATGGTGGCCATTTTAGTGCTACAAATCCATCAATATCAAGCATTTCTGCTATTCCAGAACTGGCTGTGCATGGACATACTTGTTAAAACTTGATATATCTATATTGATCATGGGTTCTTTGAAGCATGTCAGTTTTTTTTTCAATCGGCCTCATAAATGACCAACTGGAAACAATTTTGCTTTCACAAATGCTGTTGCAAGGCCATATCTCTAACTACAGCTACAAAACACAGGTTATTGTTCAGGTTACTAGTAAGGCTAAAAAAAAAAATTGTTTTGTTTTGTTTTGCTCTCAACGACCGACCGAAAAATATGAAATATCGGGTCGCGTTTTTCTTTTTCAATCCGGCCGACTGACAGAATTTTTCAATTTTCCGACTTGAGTTTTTTTTTTTTTGGCCCAATTCAGTGACTGGGAAACGTACTAGTTGGTCAACCACAGTTTTTCTATCTTAAATACTCAGTTGTTTGGGCTAAAATAAAATGTGCATTCTTGAATGTTTATTCATTGACTTGTTAACTTGTTTATATTTGTTTAGGTATCTTGGGATAATAACTTTGGTGCCAATATTTCAAGTAAGTATTTGTTGGAACCATTATTATCATATTTTGTGTTTGTATGTTTATAGAGTGATTCAATCTGATTAAAATAAGATCCTAGTTTTGGCTTCTTTTTTTTTGTATATTTATTTTATTTTATTTTATTTTGATCTAGTATTTATTTTTTGAAGTTTTGGTAATTGCGAAAGCCAACAAGGGCGGAATTAAAAAAATCACAAAATCAAAATCAAAGTAAAATAATAAAATAAAAAGGCATTAATAACATTAATAAATAATAAAAAATCAAATAAAAATAAGTTCATAGCCAAAATAATTAAAGCCTGTACACTACATCAGATTTTAATCAGATTGAGGGTGATGAATATTTATCTGTTCTGATAAAAAGTCATCAGGTGTATTTGTTTGTCAGTTTTTGGATTTTTTAATCTGTATAATATTGAGCTAGATCACCATATTAGAACAGGGAGTTGGTGTAAATGGTGGACTTTGGTGCAAAAAATAAGACATAATGTTTCTTATGCATACCCAATTTGCATTAACCAATTGTCAACTTTTCCACTGATATCTCAAGTACTAATCATCCCATTTCAATGAAATGTTCTAGGACAATACACAAACCTGATCAGTTTTAGGCTAAAATCTGCGCCTACTAAATACCTAATTTGCTTAATAAATAGTAAATTTTTAGCTTTTCTACCAATATCCAATTACTAATATCACATTTTAATGAAAATTGGTACATAGATGTGTTAGGACAATGCACATACCTTATCTGTTTCGGGTTAAAATCTGTAAATGATTTCCACCAATATCTCAAGCTCTAATCGCATTTCAGTGAAACATGTTACATAGATGCTTTGTGACATTGCACACACATCATTAATTATGTTAAAATCTGAGCATATTAATTACCTAATTTTCATAATAAATTACATTATTATACATCTGTCACCGTAACGCCATAAGTTACAGCGTGCCGTAATTTTGCGGTATTTTACGGGGTATTTTCATACTACCATATTAGGAAATGCGAATTCCAAATATGGAATAATTACGCGCGTAAGCGTCTTCTAATAATAAAAACAAACATGGCTGCTACCAGGATTTGACCGGACTCCATACAAAGAAGTTCGCTGATTCTGTTCTAAACTTTTTGAATTTCGGCATTCCCATGATGTATCCTTGGAAGGAAAAGATGTATAATAATAAGGTTATCACGGAGATACCTCAAAGTATGCACTCAGACAGTACACTGTCGCATCGACCTCCGCTGCGCGTTGGTCTATACTGCCGCTGTACTGTCTTTGTGTATAATTTAAGGTATCTTCGTAATAACCTTATATTAGTCAGGTTTTCCATCAATATCTCAAGGACAAAATCATCTTATTTATTTCAATCTTGGTTTGTAAATACACTAAGACCTAATTATAATTTGGGGTTTAAGTAAATTCTTAATAATTACCTAAGTTGCATAATAATTCACTTTTCTGCTTAACAACGATTTGTTCATCACATACTAATGAAATTTGGTACATATGTGCCCCAGGACAATGATTAGTTTGGGGGTTGAAATTCATGCATATCAATTACCTAATTTGCATAATTAACTAATTTTACACTTATTTGTCAAAAATCAATTATTGCATTTCAATAGGATACAAGTGCATGAGAACAATGGCGAAGACCTGATTAGTTTTGAATTAAAATTCAAGCATACTAATTGGCATAATATGCATAATAATAATCATCATATTTCATTGAAATTTGGTACATAAACGCTCTGTGGTAATCCACAGACATGATTGGTTTAATATTCAAAACTGTGCATATTGATTATCTAATTATTATTAGCCAATTTCTGATATCGCAAAAAATCAGATTTAAATTGAACTAGTTAGAGGTGTTCTGGAATGAATAATAATAAAAAATGTATTACAAACTTCAATACTGTGTATTACATTGTTTCCATGTTGTGCATCTCAAATAGCAGACAAAAATTAGTTTTCAAGCTTCTTGTTTGGAAGGCTAATCTCAAATTTTTAATTAATTTTTAATATGTCTCCAATACTCTCAGCCCACAGGAGTTCTAGCTAAGCATATTTTGATTATTGTTTTCTATTGTAGTTTTCTAATGTGTACATTCCTACACCTGATATTAACAAATTGATGAATGACACAACACTTAAACATCAGTGTATTAGATATGTGGCAAAACCAGGTATGTAGACTGAATAAATCATTTTGTCTTGATGTGGTCCTTATATTAGCATTCCAGCTGTATTTTATCAACTGATATGTGTCTTCATTGTTGTTGAAATCTAAATAAACCACATTGTATCCTGGGAACTAACAATGACATTGTACACTAATTTGTTCCAATTGTTCTAATTATGAATTATAAAATTGGGGACTGTTAATTTGGGTTTCGTCTGTCTGTTCATCCATCTGTGCATTTGTCCAGAGGCAATTCTCGGGCATTTTTTGATGGATCACATTGAAACTTAACACAAAGACCTAATATGGGTATAATGACTTACATATGCATATAGATTTGTTAAATTCTGATAGTTAAATGTGTTAAAATAGTGTTCAGAACAGTTTCTCAGAGATGAACAGGGCAATTATATTCAAACTTTGTACAGTTGTACATCAAATGTTTTCAAGATTCAAACAAAGATGGCCAATTGGTGGTCATTTTGTTTTTATTTATTTATTTCTATGCTGATTCCTCTCTAATATATTGCTTGTTGCAGTTGAAAGTTTGTACTCTACTACTAGGAATTGCCATAGGATGTGATATTTTATGATTTGATCAAGTTTGTTTTGGCCATTTTGTATAAGATCAAATAATTGCTATTTGTTAACGTGTCTGCAAAGGTTTCTTGGACATTCACAAGACAATTTCATTTTGATATTCTATATCCCATCTGATTGGCTGGTTCGAACCACCTGTTACCATTATGGTATGCTATATCATATCTGATTGGCTGGTTTGACCCTTTTGTAACCATTTTGATATTCTATATCATATTTGATTGGCTGGTTCGAACTACCTGTTACCATTATGGTATGCTTTATCCTATCTGATTGGCTGGTTTGACCCTTTTGTAACCATTTTGATATTCTATATCCTATTTGATTGGCTGGTTCGAACCACCTGTTACCATTATGGTATGCTTTATCCTATCTGATTTGCTAGTTTGACCCTTTTGTAACCATTTTGATATTCTATATCCTATCTGATTGGCTGGTTTGAACCACCTGTTACCATTATGGTATGCTATATCCTATCTGATTGGCTGGTTTGACCCTTTTGTAACCATTTTGATATTCTATATCCTATCTGATTGGCTGGTTTGAGCCATCATTTGGTATTTAATGCAATTATTGCATATTGTTTTAATAATTTTCTGTTCTTATTTGTATTGAGGTCATGAAATTCCAAGATTCAGTGAAGTCTTCAAATTATATTGTGGTTTAGCACCCGGCATAACAGTGAAAGATTTCTGTGCCAGACATAATCCACACTCTTTAAATGTTGATCATAGGTTAGTATACTTATTATATTTTATATCATATTTTAATTTGAGTCACATAAATACTTTGAGACAAAAATGTGTTTGCAAATATGTGCATATGACTTTTCTTTTAATATATGCATTAGAAAGCTTATTCAGTTTGGTGTCATGAAAGGTTTGATAAGACGTCTTCAAAAGTATCCAATCCGATTACCAAGTACACCTAGTGGTTATCACTCTGACAATTTAAAAAGTCTTAACAAGTAAGAAATAAATCTTATTTTACCTTTATCTCAGTATTAGAACTATTGCATATTTCCAATACTCTTGATATATGAAATATAACTGACCTGCAACTGCAAGAGATAGCATGGCTTACCGATATTCACCTTATACCATAGACATTTCTAAACTGTTCTTTCAGTGTCTAGTGTTCAACCAATCCATATTGCTGGGTAAAAGTGAACTATTGCCTGAAATTACCTACATTCATTATTATTGCATATTATTAATCCAGGTTTTTGCTACTGTTAGTCATTTGTGCATCATTTGAAAATGTATTGTCACAAATTGACTAGAAACTCTTTAATTTTTTTCTGGGCTTTAGAAGTGTAGTTACTGGTAGTTAGTTTTATGTATATTAATGTAAGATTATTTACTTTGCAGGTTATTGCAGGGATATAATAATTACGATGAAATATGCTGCAAGGAAGGTATGAGTCATCAAGAATTAGAGGAGAAAATTGAAAACGATCCTCACATTGTTATATGCTGGAAATAATGTTTTGTTATTGTCGTGTTTGCTTATAAGCTGCACAGGACCTCAGTCTGTCATTCTTTATATACTTCTTCTCAGTTACTACCATATTAAATACATGTAGATGATAACTACCAGTATACATTTTCAGTTATTACAGACTGAATTCACCAAGTTTAAGTTTTGCTACTAGTGTACTAAGTACAGGGAATTGCATATTGAATGGAGACAAAGATAGTATTCATTAACTCTGGGCAAGGCTTTTTTTGAAATAAAATTCCTCCATTTTTTTATGTGTGTACATTACTTGTCATTTTTATTTGCAAAATGGAATTATGTGTGTGTACTGATTATTCTGAACTAAAACTGTAATTGTAGAAAGGAGTGTGTTTTTTTAAATCGGAATTTAAACTCTTTCTTATAAACATATAAGAAATTCTAAACAGAGTAAACTGAGAAAAGTTCATGAAGTATCGATTCGGTAACTAGATATCATGTCACTTCCAATTTGGTGTGGAGCCAATTTGAATGTTGCAGATTCATCACAATTCTGATGACACTCTGAAAAGTGTTATAAAATGTGTACAATTTTTCACCAGCTAATTGGCTAACCTACAGATGTGCAATGGAACTAATCACACCATTATCAATAGGCACCCTATATTTACTGCAAAAAGTACATGTACACTCTCAATTCTTTAGTTTCATACCTGAGATTTTATTATAATTTTGTTTTCTTCTGTTTCATTTTATAACAAATTATGTGTTATAAACCCTGTGATTTAAGACAGTAATTTAGATAGGATGCTATAGTAGTTTTTAGTCAGAAGTGATCTAGTTAGTTCGCTGTAATGTGGAAAGTACGCACAAGCTGGACCAAGTTTCCTATCCAATTTTGTGCATGTAAAAGTGAAGTCAACTGAAATAATGAATGAAGGAAAGGTTCACCAATGTTACTCTGAAAAAAATTGGTTCATAGTTGGACCTCATGACATTTATTCAGGAGAAAATCTGAAGGCAAAGGGAAAAGAACAAATACAATGTACAAATACCATCATTGAGAAGGTTTTTATCGAGTTAGGTTGCATCATGGATGGCTTGGATTTTTTTACAATCTCTGTAAATTTACACAACATCAGGAGAACACAAATGACTGGTACGCTTTGAAGCTGTCATCATTCCTGTATCTTGATTTTTTTTTTACCAATTGCAAATTATGAATTTATGAGTTTCCCCATAGTCTTTGCTATATAATGATTCATCTAACGGCTCCTGTGTCACAAATAAATGTGTTTTCTGACTTACCGTAGTCTATGTTTCCCCATGACTTTAGCAAGTGGCTGGTTTTACGTGAGGAATATATATTTTTGCAATTGAATTTTCAAAAACGTATTTATATTTTTTTTGATTTGGTGTCAAATGTATTACTGATCAACATTACATAATATTATGCTGTACACATGATAGAAAAATAAAGTGTATGGCATATAAACAATTCTTTGTATCAATCTTACAAAAAAATACATCACAATTATGTCCCTTCAACAATATGGCTTTTCTCCTTTTGAGAATAGTGTGATCCAGAATCAAATCGAACATTCCAGTGCACAGCTGTATTGTTAACTAATTAGCTGGCAGTATTTCTGATTTGGCATTTCATCGATTATTGTGATGACAGTGAAGATCATCTGTTGTTTCCCCATTCATTTCGACTATTTTTGAAGGCTTTCAGCAGGCAATATGTTAATTTGACTTAAAACAGCACTGTCATCAGAACTGTGCATGTGTGTATTCTACTGGTCTATTATTGTTCTGTTCTCTAGTTCATCTTTACTGACATCATGCACACTATACAGAGTTCATTCAAATGTAATAACCATTGCTCACAGCTGTAACTAAGACACTAATACACTAAATAAACTTTATCTATGACCATACATGACGTATAATTTTGACGATTGTTTGAATGTACCAGAAAATTTGCTTGTAAACGCAACTGGTTTTAGCAAATTTCTAAAGATTAGTCATTCAATATGTAAATATTTGCTTTGTGAGCCTTCCATATGCACATCTACAGGGGATAATAAAGTGGTGGCATCTTGTTTAGTTAGAATATTTTTTTACCATGATCACCATTTATACCAGTATTATGTTTGCACACCAAACTCAAACTGATCCAGCTAAATTTGTCTAACTGTACTGTGACAAAGTTACATATTTATTTAAATAAACATCTCAGCTACAGGATAACAGTATTATAGCTTTTTTCAGAATTATTTCTTTTAAACATGGTTCTTGTCAAGTATGAAGCATTGGAAAGTGTGAATATTCATATACTGGGTGAAAGTTCTGCCCAAACAAAGATCAACATTCTATCAAACTTTCAGTGTTGTTTCATTATCAGCATGAATGTGTATATTATGTATTAAATAAAATGGCTCTTGTAAGGAATGTCTGGTTTTATTTCCTTCATTTGCAACCGTGACTTTTTCTTTAAAAACATTACCTCCAGATTAGTCAATTTTAATCATGACACTAACTTCAATTCTCAATTTTAGTGATCATTTGTCACTTATTCTTAAAAACAGCTTTTATATTTTATATGTAGATAAAACTAGATGGACGTCTATCAAATTTGATTTCGTGATAACTTGAATTCTCTAATTTAATGAATTTTCAACTTGCTGGTTTGAAAGATTTGTGTCATGTGCTTTAAAAGATGCAGATGTAATCTAAATTGTTGCTCACATTGAAAAAAATTGTACCCCAGCTTCTTCTGTCAGTGACTTGCTTTGCTTTGGTCACAAATTTCACTGCTTTATAAATATCTGAATATTTGAGTATTTACTTTTATGATAATGCATCATGATCCCTTCAACGGCCGGTAATCCGGTCATGTAATGTGGGCAACCAAATTCCAATGATTAGCAATTCAATGTACAAAGTTTCATTTAAACAAATCTACTGTTATATGCATATGTTAACGTTTTCAAATTATGCACATACTTTTCTAGCGCATTTTAATAAGTAAATTCGAAGCAATAAGTGAGAAATGAATGATCATCAGCTATTTGATTTGCCATAACTCTCTTCCGGTACTATTGAGAATAACATTGATATATTTACGTGTTATTATTAGTTCCCGTTCGGACGCATTATAAATTTGGCATATAATCAGTGCTCTGACAGTCATACTTAAAAATTGCCGAAAATGGATAGGTTTTCGATCTCGTAATAGTGAAATATTGCAAAATTTACTCGATCTCTTGTCGGAGGTGTTTTTATTTTTTTTACCTGATTATTTTATGCTAGCAGTAAAAATTCTCACGTGCCCTTTTTCTTATATAAACTTCATAGCACCGACGTAGCATAGCGTCATTTCCACTTAGTGAGAGTGAATGTTTTCAAGTATATTATCACGTTAATTTTAACAATGTGACATTATTCCCACGTACGAAGGAGTGAATTATTTAATGGGATTTCATGTTAGTGTTACGAAGTTTGCACCATGATGAGAAATCAATCATATGAGAATGGACCAAAATTCTTCAAATCTATTAATAACTCGCTCATAATTCTTTTGAAAAGTGTTAAAATTGGCTTGGCAATATTAATTTTTACCTTGCCCGTACCATCAAAGATGGAAGGGAAAGGTATATTAAGGGAAACATTTTGTCCGGCGTTGTCGTCGTCGTCGTCGTCGTTGTCGTTGTCGTCGTCGTTAATAATTGTTATTGTGTGCATAATAACTTTACTAATTCTATTCCAAACTTTATCAAACTTGGTCACCTTATTCATCAGTATAAAGTCTTCCCTGAGTTTGAACAACAGATGTCCTGTATGAAAATATCATGCAAAAATTGAGAAAATCTGATAAAATATTTTGACTGTTTCTACTTGACTGATCACTGGTGATACACATCAAAGGTCACTGATCTCAGTGGAAATATGCATTGTTGTATGTGTTCAATGAAGCAAATGATTTATCTTGTAATAATATCCTTGGTAATGTATCTCAGAATCCCATACTGGGTTTCAAAACCAACTCATGGAGAGATTGCACAGTCTGATACACATTTGCAAACCT